ATTTGTTTCATCAGCATATAGCAATTGTTTCAATAAGTTAATGAATCAAAAATTGAACTGCATAAAAAGATTCAACACATTCAACTGCAAAACACACGCAACAAGAATACAATCCACAAAGCCATTTAAACATGTTTGTTTAAGACAAATATCATTTAAAAACTATCATGCAACATCATATCAAACATCATTTCAATAACCAATACTATACGGCAACACGGCAATCTATACTATATGAACGAACGAACGGAATAAGCGCGACTGAATCGGCAGAAAAACGCCTTTCCGGATGAATTATTCATCTGCCTGCAGCAGAATGTTCAATTTCACATTGAAGTCGAAAATGCAATCAGTGAGCTGGAAAATACGATGCGATGACCTTTACACTGGTTTCCCGGATGAAATCCAGTGCTGATACCAATTTTATAGTCCATAGAGGAGATATGATTCGATATCCGAATTGCAACTGAGATTCATCATGCATTCTGCAAATAGTCTGAAACACGAGCACAAACACACACACATAAAACCAACAGATAAAAAACACAAAATTTAAGCAGAACACAACAAAAACATTTGGGTATCGGCGAAAAAGCACGCATAAAAACAATCAAATTTGGGTAAATATTTATTATCGAATCAATCATATCCAAATAAGCAGTTCATAATTTTTGTGACAATTGGCAATTTATAATGGTCACTTGATCGTCTGGTGATTAAATGGCAAGAAAATGATGACTAGTGGGATGAGTGCAGTTTTCTGATATTCATCATAATCAGTTTCCAATTGTGTACGCATCCAGATCAGCTATCAGTGATTAGCGACACCACTGGTAGATAACTGTGATCAATTTNTTTTTTCGTCAAATTTTGATTACGTTTTCAAATGGTTTTGCTTCATTAACGGTTATCCATTGACACCAACTGACTAGGCCAAGGGAATAAGGCACAAAACACAATACTCAACAATATAATATCCGAACATATTACTTCAAAAACGAAACTGAACTTTCTTCACATTTTGGTAACGGTGATTTGATGATGCCTAACAGCACAGGTAAATTCAACTGGAAATCGCATGTTCATGCAGAAATATTGCGTTGAGCGTTGGCATTGTTGATCAGTGCAAAAAACTCCTCTCTAAACTAATCTCTCATCATTAAATTCGCTGTGAACAATCACACAAGAATGTACTAGCTCTCAACCGTCAAAGGTGATTATACTTTAACGATCATGCTTTAAAAGGCTTACTATTCGCTTCAAGTTTTCATTTTGTAGTTGCTCACTAGAAGTACTTTATTATCTCAATGGAATCTTACACAAAATCGACATCAGCTCTTCACGGTTACCAAGTGAATATGGCAAGAAAACGAAGCAATCTGCTTAAAAAAAACGCTAACGCTAAGTTTATGTGGCAATAATTCAATGAGAACAAACCATAATGCTAATATGAAATAGTGTAATTAAAACGAAACAAACAATGAAATAAAACGAGAGCAAGAGGTCTTTAGCATAGCACCATATGAAGAGATTGATGTTGGATGTGTATAACATCTCAAGAATAGATAATAATCAATTACTGAACATCATAAACGAACGAATCAAACAATGATCAGTGGAATCAAATCAAAACAAATTGATAATTTTAGAAATTGATAATTTTTTACTAACGAGCTGAATTCGCAGCACATCGTTTCTCACAATCGGCTAAATGTACGAAATTATTCGAATTGCCCAAACATCCACCGAATTCAAATTGCTCACACTGACCACTCTCTCGATCGTAATAGAAACGTCGATGTTTACCAGAGCAAGGTCCACTCACTTTCGGCAGTGTGCAAGCATCTGAACGAGAATGAAGCATGTTCAGTTTGGGATGGCACTTTACACT